GGGTACTGGGCATTAAATTTAGTGCCTCAAGCCTGCTCAGGAAGCACCCTAACACATGAACTATCCCCTAATCCTTTTGCTTTTAGTTTTTCAGATAGGGTCTCACCTGGATAGCTTCAAATCACTATCTTCTTACCTCTGCCTCCTGAAAAGGAGAGATTACAGGATTGCACCACCATTCCTAGCTCTGTTGTTTTGTTGTTTGACATCTTATTATCAAAGTTCAGGATTTAGCTGACACACATACATAAGCAGTGTTTCCACTCTCCACCTTCTCTCTCTCTCTTTCTCTCTCTCTCTGTCTCTATCCCTTTATTATCATTTACAGTTAATTCTTTTGTGAGTCTTCTCATTATTGTGATCATATCCACATCCGAAAGAAGTAGTACTCTATCATATATTTTTTCACAACTTTTTGTTTTTCCTGGAGTTGGTAAATCCTTTGAGATTGTAGGCCTTGTTAGGCCATGTTAGGCCAACAGAAAATTTCTCAAAATTGCTTGCAGATGATCTTTAAAATTGTAACCATCAGGACAATGAATTTTCTGTAACAATCCCAACAGTGTCAGTGGTTTTACAAGTTTGTTTCTTGCTCCTGTCACAGTTCAACAGGTAGCAACAGTTGAGGTTTCTTTGGAAATAATCATTCAGGGTCACCAACTTCTTTTGCTCAGCACTTTCATGTGTTCTGGGGTCTCAGTGCTCTTTGCTGGTTTTTGTTGTTGGTGGTAGTGGTTTGTTGGCTTTTTGCTCCTGAACACAAATCAGAACAAGAAACTTGAGCGTTCTGAATTTCATCAGTTTCTCTTTCTTAATGTATTAGCTTGTTTGGAGCAGAGGAGCTTTTCTTTTAAAATGGTATACAGGAAGAATATTTTTTGAGTCCTTGAAAGTATAAAAATGTTTTTATTTATGAAGCTGAAACATATCTGGTATACAATTCCTGGTTCAAAATGAATTTATTTTAGAGATATAAAGGCATTCAAAGAAACATCTGGATCTATTATTATTATTATCATTATTAATTTTGTTCTAAGACCAGGACTTGAACTCTGCACCTGATACTTGTTTTCATTCATTGCTGATATTCTACCACCTGAATTATGCCTCCAATTCTTGGATTATTATTGGTCTTGAGAAATCCATACAATTTTTGTATTTTTAACTTTACATGCTACTTTATTTTAAATCAATCAATCAATCAGTTAAATAAAATGTACTCTTTTTAACATGCAGAACTTTTGATCTTCACTTCTGGAAATTTTAAAATATTATTTCTTCTATTTTAAAAAATCTTTTCCTGAATAGAAATAACTGTTTCCTAGAACTTTCTAGGATTGCTGATAGTAATATTTTTTCTTCAATTATTTTGTATAGATTTTTGTTATAATCCAAAATTCTCTTATCTTAATCTTCTCATGGAGCTTTTAGACTCTTAAATTTTTTTAATATATTTATAACCATCAGAACAACCAAAGTCCAGGGTATTTTCAGCCCCAGCTACAAAAAGGCCCATCCTGTTAGCAATTGCTCTCAAACTGCTTTTCTTCCCATTCTCTGGTGATCACTAATCTACTTTCTGTCTCAATGGATTTGTCTGTTTGGTGTTTTTCAGATAAATGGAATCATACAACATACAGTTGGCATGTGCTTTCATTCATGTTGCATACTGCGATCAAGGTTCGCCCATGTTTTAGTCTGTGCCAGTACTTCATTCCTTTATAGGACTGAGTCTTATCACATGGTGCAGATATGGTCTTTTAAATTTTTGAGTATATTTTCAAACTTAAAGTTTTTTTTGTCTTTTTTTGGTCTTGTATATATTTTTTCCATTTTCTCTGAGAACAGTAAAAAGCTATGTGCTCGTTCATTTGCTTGAATCACAAATTACTCTAGTTTTTAATTATCTAGAAAATAAAGCTCCAGTTCCTTGGAGATTATGTTAGCAGAGGGAGGAACGTGTGGTTGGTTGAGGGCCTGGCAATGGGGAAGGACAGTGGGAGTCTGAGTCTTGGACTCGGGATTCTAGCTGAACTCTGTGCTTTCCCCCCACTCCATGCAGGCATTTTCACTGCCTAAACTTGAGCCTGCTGGGCTCAGGTAGACAGGACTGGCTTGCTTCTTGCCTGCAGTTCACTGTGTGAACTCTGATTTTTCCAATCAAACACCAGCCTTTAGCTGATTTATGTTCTTCGAAAGATTCACTGTAAATTCATTTATTATCTGTTGATGTCTCTTTTCCCTTTTTTCTCTGTGGCTTCAAATACTTCAGAAATTCATTTACTTTTGTGTGAAAGGAGTTTAAAGAGAGATGAAACATGCGTGATCCATTTGTTATGTTAACTGGAAGTCTCCCAAGTATATTTTACTCGAGCTCTTTGACTGAATTAGGCAGCAATTACATCTATTTAAGATGTGCTTTATGAACTCTAGGTACGTGAAGGCTTTTTTCGTTATCACTGGTATTACATTGCATGGTGTTGTGCCTTGATTTTCCTGAATTTTGTTTGTGTCAACTGTAGCTGGTTCAAATGGCCTTCATGAAAGGGAGAAGCATTTCTCTTGTGTCTTCCACCTTCTCCATCTGGGAACCCACCACTCCCCAGCTCTGTCAGATCAGACACCAATGGCTCTGAACCTCAGAAACCTGAAAGACAGGATTGTATGTGGCAAGTCTTTCTAGCAGAGTTGTCCCTGAAGGTTTGGTCTTTCCCCATCAGTGACACCCTTAACCACACTTACGCCAGGAAGGAACAAGGAGAGGCCATGGTGAATGTGTTAAATTTTCTCATGGAGGCAATCCTTTTTTTTTCTTCCCAGAAATACTATGGAGGCAGCAAAAGGTAGAGGTGACCATTTCTTCTGTGTTCAGAAGTAATAGATTGGAGTTCCACCTTGACAGGCTTCCATAATTCTGGGTCAATGATTGGGATATTCCCAACCTGTTTTCTATTTCAAAGCCATGTTATGACACTCAAGTGAGAAGATCTAAGGGCAAGGCCTTTGTAAACTTTTTGCATATAGGACATCATAGCTATTAGGATTAAAGTGTAGTTTGCATATTAAGTAGGTAAAGAAAATGAAATATCCTATAGCATGAGGAATTATTTAAAATCAATGTGTATATTCAGAATGGAATTGAGATAGTATGACTTCTTTGATTTTGATTTGGGCCCAGAACACAGACATATTATATATGTAGAGCATTGATAAATACAAGGAAGACTTACAATATACATAGATACCCAGTATATATTCTTTGGGAGAATGGAGTGCATTAGATATGGTTAAAACAGTAACTGTAGCCAGCATATCTATCGAACCAACTGTGTTCGTATAGTACAAGACACTTTACTGACACAAACTCAGTTACAATACATCCATGGAGGAGTATTACTATACCCATATTCCAGATAACACTGAGACACAAGAAATAGAACTTCTTTCATAGTTTCCCAGTGGCATGGAAAGACTTCTATGGGAATGATTTTTTTTCTGATACTCCTCTTCATTATCTTGATATTGTTTCTGTGTGGTTTTGTGTTTGTTTGTTTGCTTATTTATACTGCGTGCATGTGTGCATGCATGCTGTCGCTCTGCCTCTTCCAGAGAGATTTCCTCACCGACAGCGGCATCTCTCATACTCAGTCTGTAAGCGTCAAAACTGAGTCAAAATGAAAATTTTACACCATCATCTGATCTATGAACGTGAATGCAAGCATGGGTGTTCGATATTTTAACGTTTTCTCCTACCAGGTAACTGGAGGGAATGGGTGGGGTTGGGACAGATGGGGGAAAAAGGGAGAAAGCATGACTCTGATCAAGATACATTGTACCCCTAAACGGATATTGAACTGAAACCCCTTTCTGTACATCCATGTAGAGATAATTTTACAAAGAGAGAGAAGAAAGCTTTCTTCCAAGAGGAATAAGTTGATCACAATGCTTCATATTCCACGTGTGTTCTTACCTTTCTCTGATTCCAGAGAAGGGCTGTCAGAGGACATCTAAAATCGTATACCCCGCAGTGGCCAGCCAGGATCTGTGCTTTGTGGGCCAATCTGAAGTGATTGGAGCTGGCCACATAGTAGGTACTTCATAAATATTTCTCCCTGACTGGGCTTGCTCATTACTTTAACAATTACTGAACTGAGCTCTGAACTGGCTTTACAATGCAGGGACTCTGGGATGGTCATACGCAGAATGTGTATGACTTTGAGAATGCAGTCTCTTTTCAACTGACCTTTCTCTGTTCCCCACCTGCAAGCCCCTACTCTTTACAAGTACAAAGACCCTCCCCCCACCATAATCCCACAATCCCCTCCTCTGAGACAAGCGATGTCTGGAAACTAGTCTCTGCATCCCTGCCCTGGGCTCTGGGAGTGAGATGTCACCGAAAACAGAGAAAACAAGGAAAGCTGAGCACCAGTGGCTCACACCTGTGGTCCTAGCTACGTGGGGAGGCTGAGATAGGAAGATCAAAGTTGGAAGCCAGCAAAGCAGGAATGTCGGTGAGTCTTATTCCCAGTTAACCAGCCCAAAGGGGGGGGAGATGCGGGGGGGGGGGGGGGCCGGGGGGGGGGGGTAAGAGCCAGCTGTGGAACTGTAGATCAAGCCTTGAGCAGAAAACAAGAAAAATAGAGCCAAGGGACAGAGTCCAGGCCCTGAGTTCCAGCCCCAGTCCTGGCCACAAACAAACGAGTAGATATACACATAATAAGCCACCGGGCTGGCTGCGAAGGCTCCGCGCCCCGCGGCCCCGCGGCGTGGGGATTTCATCGGAGCCCGGTGCGTGTCTGAGTCTCCTCGCAGCCTGAGAGTGAGTCATTGGCCGGGCTGAGCCGGGCACATCCGCGTTGGGACGCAGACACGCCTTCTTCTCACACAAACCTTCCTGATCCCCGACTCGGGTCCCGCCGGACTCCCGGGCTGGTGCTCCCCGCCCCTGCCACTCGCAATTCTGAAGGACCGGGGGCCGGGGACCGCCCGGCGTCGGGCGATCCGGAGCCACAGGTTGGGAGCGGTGCCCAGCACCGTCCCCCGCCCCCGGCTGAAGCTGACCTCCGGCTGGGCGCGCGCGGTGGCCACCCCGGAGTCCCGGGGCTGGGAAGGGCAGGAAGCAAAGGGAAGGAGACGGCGCTGAAATCCGACACCAGCTTTCCGGCCCGGGAACCCCGCAGGCTGGTGAGTTGGGGGACGGAGGCGGGCTGGGTGGCAGATCAGGCTGTGCCACCCACTCGGGGCGCTGGGGCCGGGTGGAGAGCGCAGGCCTGGAGATCCAGGCCCCCCTGGCCCCGTGGGGACCCGCTGGGGATGCCCACTGCATCGCTCTCCTGCGCCCCCCACGCTCCCAACCCCAAACTCCTGTTTGGGTGTTTGGTTGGGGATCAGGGGAGGTGAAAAAAGCAAAGCAAAACAAAAACTGGGCACAGCCATGCGCGTTTCCTTCCCTCAGTGTTTCAGAGAACAGTGATTCACAGGAAGGGACATGATGATGGTGTGTTCAGAGTTTCACTCGGGGAGAAAGGACTGGCTGTGGCTGGCCAGGCAGGTGACAGGATATTTCTAGGTGCTTCTGTGGGGAAGTGGGGGGGGGCGGAGGGTAGGAGGGAAAGGACTCCTAGACTCAAGAGTCATTTCAGTTGTCCAAGGTTTTGCTCAGATACTTTTGAATTCCGACTCTGTGTTGCCTCTTCGTGTGTGTGTGTGTGTGTGTGTGTGTGTGTGTGTGTGTGTGTAATCACAATAAACTCCCTTGCAAGATCGCCTCCACTCAATACAGTGTTATCTAATTAAGCCTCCGGAAACTATTGAGGCAGGTGAAGTAAACAGAGCCGCCTTCCTAGGAAAAAGCTGTTGGGTTAAAGCAGACACACCTGTAACACGTCTATCACGTTTGTCAAGACTTCGTATGTCAAGACTTAACTCTCAGCCTCCAAGACTGCAGGTCGTGGCTCAGCAAGGAACAGGCCGTTTCGGGGTTATTAACCACAGAAATTATTGTTTAGTACTTTCTTCAGTCGAAGCTGTGACTTTTGGGCTTCGTTCTGCTGCAAAGAGAAATGTCTTCTTCTCCCACTTTAGTTGCATTTACCCTTGTTATTTTAGGTAGAATATTCATGGTGTTTAGCTATCAAGTTTGAATTTGACAGTGAAAAAAGGCATGTCATTAGCATAATACAAGCTGAAGCTACTGAACACTCAAGCTACTGCAAAGTCCAATTTTGTGCTTCCAAAGCAAGAGTGGTACCTGGCTTGTGATCCCTGCAACATTGCTTCCTTCTTTGCTAATGTTACCCTCTGCCTCCTTGGGAACAGCCATTCCTGCAGGTGTCAGGGAATTCCTATGGATGGGCAGGAGAATGGCTACCGCTACTTCCGGTGTGGGAGCCTTTCCTGCTTCTGATCTGACCATGGCCAACCCTAGGATGTTACCATTGTAGGAAAACAAGACATTTCGGTGGAAACTGGATGAGCCTGTTCTCACAGATGCCAAATAGGATTAAAGGGAATCTGTCAAATGTGAGAGCCAGCCACCCATTTCCCTTGTCATAGGTCATTTCTAGAACCGGAACATTTGACCTGATAGGGAAGTGAACCCAACAATAGTGATGTTCTTCTCCACTCTGTGACACACCACCCTAGATGAAAATCTGTCTTCTAGTTTCATAATGGCCATTCATTTATTCAATCATTCTTCTGGAAACACAAATGTCATCTCTTTTCCACCTTGATTTTTGGAAATTTTTGATAAGGTTTTGGTCTCGCTGGTCAAAACAGCATAAAAGGTAGACAGAAAATTTGTCTTCCAATTATTCCTTGCTATAGTATATGTTATTATATATTAAATTAAATGTTATCTTGTTATGACATGTAATTCTTGTTATAACAGGTTTCTTGTGTTGATTTGTCAAGGCTGGTTAACCAATAATTCAGCATTGGAGCAATTAATTGTAATGTCAAGATGACTGAGCTCAATTGCAATAAAAACAGGCAGGGCAAACCAGATGTTCCCATGGAGAGATGGCTCTCAAAAGGGAATGATACTTTATTTCATGATTACGTATATATGGAATTTAATTAATAGAAGTTGGAAGCAGCAGCATCAATAAGCCTAATAACAAACCTGGTATAAATTTTGCACACAGAGGGGAGGGCATTACCTAATTTATTCCAGGTCCTTCATGACCATTATTCATGCTTTGTAAATATTGATCTTTTCTCATGAGTCTTAAAATGAAGAACACCTGTCTGTATTAACAGTACTGAGAGTATGCTGTTATAGCTAAAACAAATCTTTAATAAGTTCCATCTTTTAACTAAAAATAAATAAATCTTCAATATGTTTGTTCAACAATTCTCTCTCTCTCTCTCTCTCCCTCTCCCTTTTCTTTTTTTCTTTTTTTTGGTCGGTTGTGGGGCTTAAACTCAGGGCCTAGGCACTGTCCCTGAGCTCTTCAACTCAAGGCCAGTGCTATACCGCTTGAGCCACAGTGCCACTTCCGGTCTTCTGGTAAGGTTAATTGGAGATAAGAGTCTCACAGACTTTTCTGCCCAGGCTGGCTTTCAACCGCAATCCTCAGATTTCAGCCTCTTCAGTGCCCTCACTTCCTTGGTGCCCCGCTAACTGTTCGGGATTCTATGTGAACAGAACAGATGAACATTCCTATGGAGCTTACTTACAGAGCTGGTAGACAAACACTAAACCAGATGAGCAAGTTCAGTCTTTGTGACCATACAGAAAAATGCTAAGGAGAGAGACGAAAGCTGGTGGCAAAGGCTTGCTAAGGTTGCCTTTGTAGGACAGGTTTGCCTGACTTGATAGGCCCGTGTTAACTTGAGCAAGGGAGGGAGGAGATCTGAAGGGGAAGAGCCTCCTAGACCTAGACCGAATGAGCAGGAAGCTTGGGGTTGCCGGCCATCTTCCAGAAATAGCAAGAAACCTCTGCCCAGGATCTGAAGGAGTGCATCTACAGAGGCAGGGAAGAGCAGAAATATGGAAAGGAGGATTATAGGTCCGGTCACAAAGGTGTTGAAGGTCCTAATCAATATATTGCCTTTTGTATTTTTATCAGGGGGAGAACAAGAAAGTCTGTGATTTAGCTTGAGCCTATTTATCTATTATTCTATTATGCTTAAGTAGTTGTCCACAGAGATTTCAATTCAACACGTCAGCGTGTGCCTCTTGGTCAGTGTCAATCCTTTCTTCATTCTCCCTTATCTCTCCCAACCTCCCAAATCCCCTCGATTTATGGAATATTAAGACTGCATCCATCCACACTACTCCCTCCATTGCCCTCTCCATTGACCTCATCATCCTTCGCAACATGTGTTCTAGCTTTCTGATGCTCATTTTGTTAAAGCTATAAGCTAGTGGTTCAAAAGAGTTTTATCATTGGTATCCTTCCCTGTACGTACTCTAGTTATCATGTTTGTGTAAATATGCATATGACCCTGTATATGTTTACATACATGTTCATAAATTTAGAGCTAATTTGCACATATGAGAAAAAAACATGTGTCCTTTATAGCCTCCTTTTAAAAAAACTTTCTTAATGGCTAGTTACTGAGCATGCTACAAACTTGAAGGCTCTTTTAAGATCTGAAAACCAGAACTTAATTGTAATGAAAGATTTTTGCTATTTTAGAAATTACCATCCAATTGGTGGGGAGATAGACATGGTAGTCAAGAAACAAACAATTCAGCATGGTTTAGTGTCAGTAAGAAAAATATCTTGAAGCAGAAAATAGCAGAAGTGGTCTAAAGAGTTCTCCATGATTCTGTGGTCTGAAAGACCCTCAGGGGAAGGGATTCCATTGTAACTTTTACTTCATTTTTTCATTGAAGCATAATAATTGTATATATTTAAGTGTTTTAGTACTATTCTTGGGGGTCCTGGAACCTGCAAAAACTGAGGGACAACTGTACATTTTGTAAGATATTCAGTATACCCATCACGTCAAGCATTTATTATTTCATTGTAATGAGGGCTGAGATGTAGCCCAGTGATGGAGCTTCTGCCTAGCATGAATTTGGCTATGAACTGGATCCTCAGAACTAGCAGGAAAACAACAGCAACAACGTTCTTCTGTAATGAGTGAGAGCATTTAAGATCTAAAGGAGTGATCTTTTCAAAACAATCTCTCTGGCTTCCCTAATGACAATTGGTTGTAGGATAACCAGAGTAAAAAAAAGACCAGATGGACCAGAGATAGGGGTGAAGATTAAAGTTAGAACCCTGGTCATGGAGAGAGGCAGACTGGTTCAGAAAATAGTGGAAGGCAGACTGACAGGACTTCCTAATGAATTGGATACAGGATGGAGATGATAGGAAAAGCAGCGCAAATGAACAACAGGTGCATTCTGAAGCTATTGGAAATGGTAAAGCTTTCCTAAGATGTGTTAAATTGACCAGGTTAACCCCAAACTCACAGTGTAGCCAGGCTGGCTAGATTTTGTTTTGCTTCCTTCTTTCGTCATAGAAAAAAAATACTGTTCAAAGTAGAAGGATTAAACAACACTAAAAAATTAAGCTAAAAGGCGGAGAGGTTATTGTGACTGCAAGGAAGTACTTTAAGTGGAAAAGATATCCTTTAGGAAAGAACAAGCCAGAAAGAGCAAAAGCAGCTACAGTGTTTCTGTCATGGGGATGAAATTGAAGCTTTCATACAACTGAGAGAAGAAGGCAGAGAGTGAAAAGCAGATGGCAGCGGATATAAGTTGAGGTTGGAGACACTATTTGTGAAGTCACTGTAGGAGCAAAGACCAACAAAGTCCAAGAAGGGCAGAGACCCAAGACTTAGTTGTCAGAGGTTATTGCAGAGAAGCTTCTTTGAAAAATGGAACTTTAGGCTCTTTTCCAAGGTTCTCATCCTACAAATTCCAGAACACATTTATATATATATATATATATATATATATATATATATATGTAAATGAAGTAAATGAAAGATGTAGCTGCTATGAAGCAAGTATTTAATATCCAGAAATGCAAGATCATCATTGTAAGGTAAAGTTATATTCCAGGATACTGAGTTGCTCCACCCACGTAATTGCTGAGCAGTTTCTAAGAAGGCAGACACAGCCTCATAAATTGGTGGGATTTACGTTTAACAGTTATTTTTTACTTTATTATTAATCAAATATTGCCAGTGCTACATTGTATATTGTCGCGACCGCCTCG